GCTCTGCAATCCGCTGACCAATGAATGCGGGAGCAAAACGTCCTCGATTTCTGGCGATGTGGTCACCCGTTCGCCGAAAACGCGCCATAGATTCATCAGCACGTTCGAACAGCTTGGTCATCCTCTCGTTGAAAACATCAGCCCGTTCGAACGGCTTGGTCATCCGTTTGTTGAAAAACATCACTCCGTTCGAACGACTTGGACTATTTTCCGTCGGACGACTTGTATCATTCGTTTGGAAGGTTCATACTAGTAACGCCACCCGTTTATTGAAAATAAATTCTTACGTTCGAGCGGCATCAGTCATCTGTGCTAATGTTTACGAGATTTGTCCAACTTCATTCGCTCGAGTTCTCCACCGAAGATGGCCTGAAGCCCTTTCCAAGAGTTCATAAAACTTGCAAAAGTGTTCACTTTTTGGGTACAGGTAAGGCAAACAATTTGGGAGAGATATGGCTGTTTTGCGAAGTAAAATCCAAGATCTCGAAGGCGGTCCGCGATAACATATTGGAATTCTTCTCTCTGACTTGCTTTAAAGATTTTAATAACGCTTTTGAACCCAGCTCCTAACTTGATTCTTAACTTATCTCCTCAAAAGCGGAAAATTGACGGAATATCTATATTAGGCTTTCTACTCCTCTTGGGTTTTTCTTTGAAATTTTCCTTGTCGTCCTACATTATCATCAACGTGCAGCAGTGTTTTGACGGTTTGCATGGGTCAGTGCTCTGCTATTTTTAGTATTTTTCCTGCTTCACTGGCGTACGTCTTGAAATGGCGCGTAGTGATTGGATAGTTTTGACAGTTGTTGATTGACATTCGAAACACGATATGCATAATTAATTAGGGGGAGTTATGCGGAATTCGGGCCTCTCATTGCAGGCCCTTCCTTTCCTTCCTTTCCTCTCTCCAAGCCTCTCTCCGCTCGCCTCCCCACCCCCTTCCCCCCCTCCCCGTCTAGGGCCGCTACGCAGGGCATAGTCAAGACAGAGGGCACAGTTTTTCCCAATACGGACCGACCAATGCTGGTGAATAACATTTTTATTTTTTTCTAACACAAAACACTGAAAATGATTGCCAAGAGAACTCGAATGATTATGGGCTACACTTCCTTAAGAATTTGTTAGCGAGTGGATGATAAAGAATACAGACGTTATTGAAATTAAAGAGAAAGCTTTTGCCTTCACCGAAATATTTTCAATTAGTAAATGTAACTGAAAAGGCTTTCAAGCAAACTTTGAAACATTTTTTGACCAGTAACTGTCATCATATGACACCTGTCAATTGAAGAAGAAAAAACCCGTGTACTTTTGAGTAAACAACAGTACTGGTGTGACAAACACACACGAGTTAAATGACAATACGATGATCTCGTATAAAAGAAAAAAAAAACAATCAGAGATCTTACGTAAAGTATTGTTTGTTTCCAACGACGCCTGATTAATATTCGAAGATTTACATCTGTTCCGTTTTAAAATGTCACGGAAAGTCGAATTGTAAGTGATGCAAATGTGTGTTTGAGTTGTTAGTCTGCTTGTTCGTTTTCTGCAATGGTGTG